TTGTGACGTGTTTTTATCACGTGAATCTCACTCAGAGACAGTGGTGGAATGAGTTGCACTTTTAGGACCAGGAGTTAGACTCATTTTTAAGCACCTGAAGTTTTTTGTGTGCTAACTTTGGTCTGCTGACAGTGTCTCTGCCCTTCTGTCCTTGCCAGTTGAGCTGGCCAGGAGGACGACTTAAGAATTAGTGTATCTAATTAAACATCAGAAGGTCAACATGGAGTTACATGTTGCCAATGCCTCACGCCCAGGGAGAGCTTCAGTCAGAGCTTAGACATCCTGAAGGGTTATCTGCAGACAATGAAGCTCACAGAAATGGAAACGTCTGTTTTCCTACTCAGAAATGGCTTGGAGTTTTACCTTTCCCACCTTGTTCAGCTGGCAGATTAGGGGTCATATACCAGAAAGCAGTTTATGCAAAGCACTTGTGAAGATGCCAGTGCTATCCATACTGTGTGCTTGGTCCTTCAGTTTTGGTGGACAGCTGCAAATAAAAGATGGCAGCCTCAGCCATTCTCCTTTTAGGAGACAGTTTTCCATTTCCATTTCAGATACCCACAGAAACACATGCACTAGTAATTAAGGTTGTAGCAGTTTCACTGTTTGCATTGAATTTCCCTTGTTTTCTTGTTGTTTCTTTATTTTGAGATGAATTCACAATTCATTTTTTGAATGCATTCAGTTGAGTGCATTGATGTGATGAATATTGCTGTTTGTTTGTGGAGAAGACAGGAGTACAAGCAGCAATGAATGATTGCATGCCCTGCCCACAAAATTTGTGACCATGCATACAGTCATAATGCAAATGGAGAATAAATGTGTCAACAGCAGGCTATATATAACATTATTCATTTTTCCACCTTTGTATTCCCTTGAGTCCCTGAGGTCTAGTTGTCAGCATAAGCTGGAGGTTATAGTGGGTTTCTATACAAATAATGTTTTCTGGTTATTTGATTAATGATGTTAATGTTGTCACAGCGAGAATAAAGGATGCAGACATTAAAGCTACATTCCTTGAAAATGTTTTAAAAATTAGATCTAAATGAAAATGCCATTAACTGAAATACTCTCAGTTAGGGAATCTTCTTCAATAAATGTCATTTGGGAGATGAAACTTGTTCCTCATCCAACAAATCAGGTGTGGATTTCTTTGTACCATAAGGTATTTTTTCCAATCATCATTTTTTCATATCTATCACAAAATCATTGAATCTGCACCCTGTAATGTGAATTGAAGTGAGCCTGGGAATAGGGTGCTTCTGGGACTAGTGTTCAAATATGTTCAGATTGTGTCAGACTTACTTCCAGAATTTTTCTGCAAACTTATATTCCCAAAATACTATTTATCTAAAACATTAAAACTGAATTACCTGCAAAAGCTACCTTTTCTGTATATTTGCAGTATGCCTAATGACTTTTTCAAAGAAAAGCAGCTCTGCTTTCTACACCTGTACCTATTTTCCCCCAAACATGCAGATTAATTGGAACAGAATATGTACTAACCCAGCTCTAGGTCTGACTTTGATTGCCAGAAAGTATTTTGACCAATAGAAGTTCCAGGTAAAATCCTTGTGAACATAGATTTGGCATATGTTCAACAGCTATTTGAATATCCTCATGTTGTAAGGAGGGAATACATTTATAGCCATGTGGTGTCTGTTTTCACATGGTGTGAAAATCAGTTTAGATCAGTGGAACACTTCTCTTTAATGCCAGCCAAGAAACCAACTAACTTGAATTTTACAATGGCATATTTAGACCTAAGTAGTGTACATGTGAAATGCTGTAGTGGCTCTGTGGCTCAGGAAATCTTGAGTGCTGAATTTGGTGGCTGTCTCTTGAGGTCTGAAGGTGTGGAGAAAGATGATAGCAGAGCCTTCATCTTGTCTCCAAGTGCAGTGCTTGCCACTCAGATAAATTTATTTCTCAGATTACAGTAAAGAAGTAAAAATAAATTAAATTTATAAGCCAAATGATTTGGCAAATACTGGTCTGTAACTTCGCAGAAAATAAATCATTGGGTGCAAAGGGATGTCTGTGCCTCTTAAACTGGAGGCCCAATTAGAGCTCAGTGATGTACACGTCTGGCGAACTCAAGGGTGTGTTTTTCATCCTGTGTTTGGGAAAATGTGCCCATCTTTACATCTTTGTGTGGAGTATGAGCCAGCTCCCCCTCCATCTGCTGGGGGGGAGCAAGCTCAGTCTGCTCCCACTGCTCCTCAGCATGACCCAGTATGTGGCCTTCCCTGACCAGTCATGTGTGGCAGTTTTTTCTTTCCCAGTGTTTGCTTTCACTATGAGACCTGAAAGATGACCTGTCATAATATTCTTCCATCCAAGTGGCTTTACTTTCTACAAGTTTCTCAGTAAACAAATTTTTACTGTGACTGCAAATTACTTGCAGTGAGAACTAGGAACTCTACATCCAAATATGAGAGAAAAATTAATTCATGTCTTCTCTTTCTTTTTTTTAATAGCGAACATGCTGTCATTTATGCACAGTCAGTGTTCAAATAGCTGAGTGGTCACTTAGAGATGTTTTATTTTTGAGGCTACAGTATTAACTGAGTTCAATATTACTGGTTTGGACTTCGTAACGCTCGACCTTTCCCAGATGAAACCTTTATTAACACTTCAGTTTGGAGGCCTGGCAGTCCAGACATTGACCTTTATTCCTCTGCTGTCTGAGACAGGCTTTATCACTCTGACAGAACCTAATTAAAAGAGCAAAAAAAAAAAAAATAGTGAGTGATGTCAGTGAGAGAGACAGAGAACCAGAGTAAGAGCTTTTACTGGCCAGAGTACATCTATAACTAGCAGCTCTTCCCTTCTCTTCACTGATGGAGGGAATGTTATTTTGCCAGCTGTTATTCATTCTCAATGAGCAGGGATAATCTTTCTTAATCCCTTAGAGAGGTTTCTTTGCAAGATGTTCATTTCAAACTTTAAATCACATTTATGTAGAGCCAGATTCTGTCATGCTCTTTCCTGCCAAATAGTAGCTTCCTCTCTTAAAAATCCAATAGTGAGTAAGGACAAAAATGAAGAGAAGTAGAATTAATGATGGATCTTTAACTAATGAATACAACTATGTGAATTTTCACCTGCACTTACTTTTCTTCGCAAACAACAACTTAAACTTTTTATTTTATTCTCAAACTCTTCCACTTAACCTACATGAGCATCAAGATCTCAAGATCTGTGGTCTTTTTTTTTTTTTTTTTTTTTTTTAAATAGAGGAGAAAAGCTTGCAAAACTATGCAGTTTTGTTTGTGCTGTTTTTCTCAGCTCCAGTGAAACCAGGAGTTGATGGCCATCTCCATGCCATTAACATGAAAAGTTCAGTGACCTCTTTCAGCTGCTCTCTCAGTGATCTGATTCTCACCAGAAATTTATATAATCACTTAAACAAAACACTGCCATTCTTGCCTTTCATTGTAATAATCCTCAAACTGCAACAAAGTCAATGCTATTCCAGACAGACAAATTTAGATTCTTAAGGTCAGAATAGTTCGTCCATTAGCTTGTACCAGACCATTTCACAAGAAAGAAATTCTCTGTGCTTTGCTTCTGAATTTACCTGTTAAGGTCCCTTTTCTTAACAGAGTGAAGAAGCTCCAGTGCATTACCTTTCTCTCAATTTTTCAAGTTCTTGGTGAATATCCATCCCTCGTTTCAATCTTTTTATTTTTGTCTTATCTATTTGTGAGATTACGATCTGCTGGTTCTCATCAGTTTTGCTGTTTGTATCTTGAAAGGTAGGTTTATTAAGTGTCAGAGTTTTCAGATCTGGCTTATTATTTTCAAATAGAGCAAAGCTGACCTTGCAGCATTTTCTTTACTTGGCATGTTACAGTATTTCTGTCTCATAAACCCTATCAGAGAGACTGTAAATTTTAGTGTTTCCCTGCAAGTTCCTGAGAAGCAGTGGTAATATCAGCTACCCCAGTTCTTCACTGTCAGGGACCTTTTGTGCTGAATCTACATCATGAAAGCAGTTAAACAACCATAAAGGGGACACAAGGAAGCAAGGATCTTTTATCACTTCAGTTCTTTAGAGAATCACTCTGATAATAAAAAATGTTGTTAAATCAATTCTGCAGTAAAAAACATGGATGGTTCTTATAGGTGTGACTTAAAAAAGAGGTGCAATTGAGTATCAGCTTCAGCCATTTGAATCTATGCTGATACTGAAACTGAGGGTATCTAAAAACAAATTCCTGGTATCTCTCAACGGCTTAGTTCATAAAGTAAAGGCACTTACTTTCTTATGTGAAAAGATTAGATTATTTTAACGCCATATTTCATTCAGTTTGTCATACAAGATGTATTCCTTAGTTACAGTGTTTGATTTGCATAAGATTTACCTTTCCTATTGTCCTTTTCCTTTTCCTTTCCCTTTTCCTTTTCCCTCCCCTTCCCTTCCCTCTCCTTCTCCCTCTCCCTCCTTCTCTTTCTCTTTTTTTTAATTTATGGCCACAATTGCAGTTGTGTTCTTAAGTATTAACAATTACAAATCCTGGTATCACATACTTGATATATGGTTGCATATATGTAAACTTCTCTATGTAAGTAGATATGTAACATCTCTAATTTGATGTCATTGTGGTTTTTCAGTGTATTTTATGGTTTCACCAGAGAGGTGCTGGACTACGTACTGCTGATACACTGGTGGTACACTGGTGAAATTCTTCCCCAGAACAATAATTCTTTTTCACTTTGAAGAAGCCTGTTCATTGAAGGAGAGTTGTGTGTTCAGATAGCTGGGTTGTTAGATTTGACTAATTACAACCTATACAAGCATGTCTTGACAAGAACCTGACCTTGTATCCATTATGAGCTCAGAAGTTTCTGAGATAATAGTGAGCTTTGGGAAAGAACTAAGAGCAAGGGGAACTGAGGAGTTTTACTTTGGTGTTGTCTATTTCAATGCATTTTGAACAAGAAACCCTTCTCCATTTTAATAATCTAACCCTTTCATATGTTATTGATTGTAGTTGATGAAGGAGTTTCCCCTTCTCAGCATGTTCAACATCCATGAAAACCTGCTAGAGGCTTTGCTGGAACTGCAAGCATATGCAGACGTCCAGGCAGTCTTAGCAAAGTATGATGGTAAGTTCAAATATGTATTTGTATTTTCCCTAGGTGATACACACAGAAGAAATATATTTAAGTCAAACTCCTATTATTTAGAAAACACTGTAATTAAATTGATAGACATGAGCTTCATACATGCCCTTACATAATCCTTTATCCAAAGATTAAATACTGTGCATTTTTTCTGCCAGCCCATGCTGAAATCATTGTACAGGGTGATGGCACTCACTGGCAGCTCCCCTGTCCTTTCTTTGTTTTCTCTTGATGTTTAAAGAATGACTGTTTAGGTTCTACATAATTTTTATTGCATGCTATTCAAACCTTTTCTGAATAAAATATTATCAGTTGCCCCATGGACTTACCTGTGATTGTTGACTTAGTAGCATAGAAGAAAACGTTGATTTAACTTCATAGCAGTCTGGTGAGTAGCAGACTTCATTTCTTATAGAGAAACCTTGGAAAACCCAGAAGACTAGGTGAACATTTTGTATTATTTTGTTTTGGTTTTCAGTAAATATTGGTTTATACAGCACTGCAACTCTTTTCATATTCAAATCACAGCTGCTGGAGCTCTAGCTCTTTAAATTTGAAGACACCAGGGTTTCAGAGACACGGAAACTGGCATATTTTGTTTAGTTCAAAAAAACCTGGGTTTTCCTCGTATTGTGTAGAAACTTGGTGACAAAACCAGGAATATAATCCAGTTCTCTAGAGCAGCGTTCATCAGCCTGCACAGTGCCACTCTTCCTCTTCTTACTGCAGTCCCTGGCTTACTCAGTAGCCACTTTCCAAGTTCTGCAGCAAGTGAATCAGGGAACCTACAGCTGTCAGTTTCCTACTGTGTTACTACACAGTCCTCAGTCATCCTCAGAAAAATGTCATTCTGTTATGGGAATTTTTGAAAGGAATATTACATAATGATATAACTAGAAATGAGATCATAACCTGCATGGATCAAATAGCTGGCTTAAGTGAAACCTATGTAGCCTTAATTTTGATGTTTCTTAACTCTTTTGCCAGGTTGATCTTGTAGCCTTTAAAATGTTGTCAGTTGCTAGCTCTTAGTGTCTCTGATGCTCTTTGAACAAAGACTTTAAGGCTTGAAACATTCACAGTTTTGGAAAAGACAGAGGGACATTATTTGAGCTACTCTTGCATAAATGCCTACCAATATAGGCTCCTCCACTGGAGCCTATATCCACAGTGCTCATTTTTCTTTCTCATGGTTTCTTTTAAGGAATTGGCTGGTCTTCTGTCCCATTTGCTTACTGAAGTGTCTTCTCTTCTGCATGCTCAATTATAGCTTTTAATTGCTCCCACTTCCTACCAGAGGCTCCTTGTTCAGCCAGTATCACTCATTCTCAGTTCCATTCTTCTGCTTTTCCTAACTACCTATTCTAATCTTCTCTTCAGAGCACTGATGGTCAAGATACATTGCCAACCACTTTACAACTTCCCTTGTAACATCTTTTCCATCTACCTTTTTCTCTGTGGCTTCTGCCTCCTCTTCATTTGTCATTCTCTGTTGCATTTCCTGGGTGCCAAAAAGAACAGTAAGAGCTCACGCAGACAGAGGCTTCTCCCTGTCAGCCCCAGTACTTGGGCCCATATCATCACACCATGATCAACCATGGCAAAGGGCTGGTGCATGTTCGCTGGAGTACTGAGACCTGTACTTGTTGAGCAATGAATCTTTGGATGGTATAGCCAAAAAAAAAAAATGCAGAAGCTCCCACTAAATATGTGCTAACTGCTTTCTTCTAACATCTTATAACTTAGGAAGTTAAGACAAATTTAAATGAGGCTCAGAACAGACCATTGGCTTGGTACTAACACGATCATCCTGCCAGATTTCAGACTCCTGCAGTAGACTGCCTCAGAGATGAGGCTATTTAAAAGAAATATAAATAAACAGCTGATTACAGGAACATCAGTGATAATCACTCCTACCAGTCCAGTCTGGAATGTTTTCAACTCTTTTTTGGGGTCAAATCATTCTAAGCAAAGATCAAAATGTCACCCAGACCCTTGAATGCTGCCATTCAGTAGCAGTAATGACTCTGGAAGAGATCTTGGTTGTACTTAGTCTGACTGAAGAAATTGGCAGTTAAAGTGGTAACATCAGAGTCTTTCTGGTAGCTCCTTGTATTTCAGTAATTCCTGTGACACTGGGAGCGATGCCTATGTTCTTCATTTTGCCATGTTAAAAAGCAAGTAAGGAAAAATGGTGGCTTTTATTCCCCAGGCATCACTGTAGGTTGGCACCTTCTAGTTTTCAATGCAGTTATGAGGTAATAGTCCTGGGAAGTAGCAGAACTGTGACAGAACAGGGTATTAAGCCTGTATTCTCAAATCTCTAGACTGAACTCCAGTGCGAGCTCTACTTTGGCATAATGAAGGCACTGATCCCTGATTTTAAACAATGCCATGGTAGCACTTTATGTCATGGAAGTTGATAAAAATTGAAAGTGTGTTTCATTTTCTCAAAAGCATATGATAGAGTCAGAACAAATGAGGCTTTTAAAAATAAAGCTCTTACTTTGGCTGTTTGAGCACAGGCAGTTTCAACTCACACTTTGCTATGGTGTGTGTATGCACTAGGTTTGCAAAAGGACTCAGCAAACACAGGCTTAACCAACATAACCTGTACAGTTCATGAGTCTCAGAAGGCCTGTCTCAGGGAGTCTCAGCTCATTTTAGAACTCATCAGCTTCATGTGTTGTAAGATTTATTGGAATATAAAACACTGAACTCATTTATACTTTCCTATCTGCAGTTTCTGTTGGTCCCACTCCGCTGCTTTTTTTTTTGACTAAGACCAAGCCTGATTTATTGTATTTTGATAACATATGAACAAATTATTTCCTCGAGCAGTCTGCTCCCACCCTGGGCTAAAATGTTGGACCACATCATGTGAAACCTCAGCCTCTGCAAGCAGATGCACTGCTTTAGCAAAAGCCATGTGTTAAATTGTGTTTATATTATGTACCTGGCAACAGAACTGATGTCCATACTCATTATTCATGGAAAAAGGGTCTCATTAGTGGAACAGCATGCACTGTTGCTGAGCTACATCATTATGGTTTCAGAGTTCAGTGTCTGTCAATAGAGTGAGGATGACCTAAACACTGTTGAATTCTGAAAATATTTTTGGCTCTGATTTAACACATATCCGTGTTATTTACAGCAGAAATAGCTATGGCTGGGGGTGTTAGTCTGCTTGTAATGATGCTTGGAGGAATTGATTTATTAATTTCCCTGGGCAGCCAGTTGCTTTGATAGATATTAAGTGATCACCTGGGCACTGTGTAAAAACTCAGACTTTTCTGGCAATTTAAAGTCAGGTTTAGAAAGAATGGATGCCTCTGTGTTTAATCTTAGTGATGCAATGGTTCCTCTCTAAACCTGTCCTTGCTTTCATTTTTTAGAAGCACAGTGTTTTCCAGTGAGACTAAAAGCCTTCTTGTTTGCAGGATGAACACCTTACACAGATTCTTCTCTCACATTCTTCTCTCCTTTGCAGAGAAGGAGAAAGACCCTCATGCCAGAGTTCCAAATGCAGAGTTCACTTGAGACAATGTTTTAGAGCAAAGGACACACAGAAGGGAAATGGGGTTTAATACAAAATATCTCATTCTGCTCTGTGCTTTGCCACTTTTAATTTGATAACAGCTTGCTCAAGCAGAATCCTACTTTAAATTAGTTTTAAATCAAAATGCAGGCCTTTGAAGAAACACTTGAGAAAGTGGAATACTTGGAATACTTATAACTGAGTGAAATCCGAAAGTTAACACAGAGAAATGACTTTTCTAAAATGTAGTCAGTTCAGGACTACTGTCTTTTCTCTACCCCCTTCTGTCCAATTTCTTATTGTTCTTACAGATTATGCATGTAAATTCTGTTTATATTGAAGGCAATCCTTTTGTAGAGAGTTGCAGATTGATGAAGCAATTGCATGCAGCCTCCAGTTACATTAGCTATGGTCTCCAGGGCTTTTGTAGATAGTTTCATTACTTGCCATATTTATATTTTACTTTTTGGAGGTATGCTACCTGGTGGAGCTAACTGGGTAGGTGTTGTAAGTGCAATGAAGAGTTTTCTTCAGAAAGTGGCAGTATGGAAGCAGCCATTCCCTCATACACAGTATTTTACAACCCTTTTGTTTCTTTGAAAGAGATATCTTAAGATAAGTTCCTTTTAGTTACGGTTACACCAAAACCTAACCTACCTTCTCCAAGAGACACAAATCAAGACCTCAAGTTTGTGTAACAGTAATATCAAGAGAATAGTTTGTCTTTGTTCCTGTCACATCTTTTCCAGCTTATGCTTGCAAGACCTGATTTCTTTCCTCCATATCAAAATCACTTGTCACTTCAGCTAGGTTTCAGCAACAGTTTGTGTCTGTTCATACCATCTGCTTTCTTTTTTTTGCCAAATGCATCTGTGGCATTTTTTGTTTTGCCTATTTGTGCAAAAGCACAAGAAGTGTAAAGTAATTATACTAGTCTTGCTCTCTTTAACTTTCTTAAGCAGAAATTATTCCTTCCCCTCTACAGGCATTTAGAATTGAACTTGGTCAAGTTAAAGTGGCTGACGCTTGTGGTCGCTGATATGCTTGTCAGCAAGAGTGGCATATGAAGTGTTTAAAATCAACAGTAAATCTTCCTGTATCTGAATAGTGTAAGTTTTAGTTGTGGTTATGGCAAAATAAAGGCTACTTGTGGTTTTCCCATTGTAACACAGGGGCTGTGTTTGACTGGGGTGTTTCCCACTACTGAGAAAGAGTGCCAGAAGTACAGAGAATCAGAACTGAGTTTCATAAGCAGCATATTCGTAGCTGTGCTCCCTCCAGCATGTTTTCTACTACATTTTGTGGGAAAATGTGATCAGTGTTCTAATGGGATATTAGATATTTTTGATAGCAGTTTTCCCCTGATATTCATCTCATACTTTTCTTTAATGATTTCCATCACATTACTCTTGTTTTTAACCATTTGTATCAGCTTCATTCACTTTCTTTCTTAATGTTTGTGTCTTTATAGATGACTGCATCTCTCTTCTGTCATCACTGATCCAACCTGCACATATTTATTTGCTAGAGTGCTTACAATCTGTAAGCAAGTCTTCCTATCACCTGTGCAAAATTTGGAATAATTTGTGATTAGTGACTTACATTTCTGCATTTATTAATGACTAAAGCAACTGCAACATGCCTGTCAAACATGAAGATATTTAGAGCCTTCTGCTGACTTGGTAGGGAATGTTGCATCATTCCATATCCAGATTCATAATTTTTTTTAATTGCTGTTGATAAGAACAGTAGATGCCATGACCATTTTAGATGATATATGGCATACTCTGCATATCCATAGCATCTTTCCATCAGTTCAGTCTCATAAGCAACTGCTTAAGAAGCAAATGAATTGTAAGAATTCACTTTCCCAGCCCTCCTCATACATGACTGGAGCATATTGAAAGGAAATTCTTATAAATTAATTCTAGATTTTTGTATCCTGTTTGATGATACAAGCAATAAGAAAGGAGGAGAGTATTTTCTAGATTGACACATCAGTTTCTATTAGGCAAAAATGTCCTGATGGATTTGACAACAGATTAGCAGTCACATCTTTCAGCACATTGTGGGAGCTCCACAAGTAATCACAGGAGGGTGGGAAACAGTGTATGTGAAGATATTTTGCCAGATGGCTCAGAGAGCTGGACACAGTCATTTATTAAAACTTTGCTTTGGTTCTGACAGAATACATATCTCCTAGGGCCAGTTTGGACACAATTCCCTTGCTAAATTCAAGTTGTTACCAGACATAATTGTTTATAGCTCTCTAAAATATGAGGGTGAAGTTTTGGAGATGAAGCCAAAATTATTTTAAAGTATTGTAGTCATAAACCAGCATATAGTAGGACCAAATACTTTTGGTCTAATATGTAGCAAACAAAAAGAAAAACACTTTTGAAAGCAAGCAGGCATGGATCTGTTAGTTTGACTCAGTTGGACTAGAGGTTGTCCAGCACTTGCTTCCCCCTCCAACCACTCTGTGATTCTGTGATAAACATGAACATTTGTATCTGTTTCTTCCATTGCTAGGGGTTTATAATTATTATCCTCAAACAAGGATTGCTCTCTAGGAGCATAGTACTGGAAGAGACCTCCTGGGTGAATCAGGGCCCCTGCTGTTGCATTCCCTGCATGATACTGCTCCTTCCATGAGCTGAGCAAGCTCCATCCTAGAATTAGTTGGTTTTTTGGCCCGCTGTTCTCCATGGAAGCCTCCCTCAAATGTTCATTTCACAGAAACTTTCTTTTGATCTGCAGCCAGAATTTAATTTTGAACTCTTTATTCTTGTGCCAATGCTGTCCTTTACCTGAGCAGCCCTTCTTCTCTCCTGGTGTTCCATGTGGGTCTGCGTAGGAAACAGTTGGATCTTCTCTCAGTTTTTATTGTATTTGGTTTGATACAAAAACAGTCCAATCCTTCTGTTTGCTTTTGTTTTTCTTGACCATGGGTGATCAGATTTGAACACAATATTCTTTGAGAAATCCCATTTCTTCTGCAGAAAGGACTCACATGGTGTGTCTGAGCCTTAGCTCAACTCACCTCATTTCTCTTCCTTGCAGATGCCAGCTGTTCATTGTGAATCACCTTGCACTCTATATGCACAGATGTTTCCAGCTCAGGAACACTTACTGTCTACTAGGACACATTTTTTTTTGTGATACTGTTTTAATATATTTAAAAGACATTTCTGTTTACTGGAAATAACTTTTAACTCCTGATGTTAAGGAAAACTTAATATAAAGAGGGCTATTGGATATGTTCAGAAATATTTTCCTATCACTGAAGATGTGCTCATGCCTGTGTCTGTAGCTGTCTTCTATTAGTGGAGTAATGAACATATCTGTCATCCAAACTGCTCTGCATGCTGTTGATTTTAATTACTTCAGTCACTATAATTACATACTCCAGTGAAATTATAGTTGCAATATGTAATAGGGAAGCCTCCAGCAGGATTTGTACATCTCATACTTGAAGTGCAAGTGCATAAAAAGGTAATAGGATTTAACAGGCAGCCTTTTCAAAGTGCTGCAGTCATTCTGGCAATGTTTTCAGTCTCACAGAATAACATTGTGCCTGGTTGCTTGGTTATTAATAAGTGAAGGATGGTGACTGCTGAGATTGTTCTTGCTTGTTCTGTTTAACTCCCTTCTGGAGCCCTAACTCTTGCAAGGCACATGAGTTCAGTGAGTAACAAGTGTCTGTTAATCCTGAAGTAACCAAGTTATCATGGTAATTTCATCTTTCTAAGCAAATTTAATGACAAACCAAGGGACAGATAGTTTCTTAGAGCAACAGTCAGATAGATTAGCTGCTCCTCACTTCTACAGTGGACCTGCCTCAGTGCCTTGTGTTTGCTGTGCTTTCTGTTTGCCATAGGAAGTTATCGGCATGTACGCAAGGGTTTGCAGAATCCAGCCTTTAGTGGGTTTGGGGTTTTCTTCATGTGGCTGTTATCTTTAAATTTTTAATGCTGTAATATTTCAGTCTCAGTATGTGACTGCTGGGTAGATTACAGAGTCACAGAATAAGCTGAGTTGGAGGGGACCCATAAGGATCATCAAGTCCAGCTCTTAGCCCTGCTCAGGACATCGCCAAGGATCACACCATGAGATTAAAAATGTGGAAGTCAATTCTCTGTAACAGTGAGAACAAATATATCACTCAAGTCTGTTAAACAGCATTTCTCTCTACCTTCTGAATGCATTGCTGGTAGAAAACATGTATAAATTAACGAATGGGTTAAGTCAGATTTATGGTCCTGTGTGTCTCTGGAACAGGATAGAATGGCTAGAGAGTGTCTGGTGGATGTGTGTTTTGGTCCAATATTTTCTTAAGAGGCAAAACACCTTATTTTACTGTAGATCTTTAACTTCAATCGATCTACTGGCTGACTGCTTGCAAGTCCAATCCATTATTACTTGAATAGCTGTCTTAACTTGTACAGCTGCCACATGCTCATATTAGACAGATGCTTCTCAGTGAAAACATGAAGAGTGAAGTAGATAGCCCTCAGGTATTACTTAGATACTTTGTGAACTATGGTAAAATCCAGGTATTCCAAATCATGTATATATTTATCTACAGAGTAATGAATTCTTTCATTATGTCTCTGTTATGTCACTCTTTAAATTAGTTCTCTAATGATACCAGTTGCTGTTTAAATAGCAGTTCCAGAGGTCATTAACACACATTTTAAAGCCTGTATATCAGGTGGAAATTTAAAAATCCATGTGACGTGGCAGCATGAGTCCCAAGATGAAAAAGTATTCTGAGTTCACATACTAATTTTGTGTATGTCATGCTTACTCTAAAGCATCAATCACTTTTCTTCTGCACACTTTTAATATTCAAATGTTTAATTTTTTTCTTTCTTTTCAACAGATATAAGTTTACCAAAATCAGCAACAATATGCTACACAGCTGCATTGCTCAAAGCCAGAGCTGTCTCTGACAAGTAAGTGTTTAAGAACCACATTCCAGCAAAATTCCTGATTTAATGTAAGATTTTTCTTAGCTGAGCCCACACCCTAACAATCTGCTGATTTAGCAGGAAAATTAAGACCTGCAGTAAATTGATAAAATTACTTTATATATAAAAAATTGGTAGTGATCAAACATTGCACTTGAGATACTAAGGAAGAAGAAAAGAAGAGAAATAGCATAAATTCAGTTCTTGTTTCAGTTTTATATATACTCTCTGGGTGAGCTTTGGCTTCCTAGATAGTATAGTGATGATGCAACTGAAAAGGGTTGTGTGGCTGAACCTCTTCAACTTTGTGTAAACCTGACCACAAAAAGGTAAAAACTAAATGTGGATGCACTGGTAACAATGTCATCTTAAAAGTGCTGTCAGCAGAGTGCTCATCTAATTAAATAGCGGCAGGTGGATTTAGCATTATTATGTCAGGGATTCTGAGAGGCAGATGACGTTCATATTTTTAGAGACACAAATATCTGTTCATTCCTTTTATGTTTTTCTCTTGGGTCTCAAGCTTCCAAGGTGCTGAGCACATTTATTTGATGCCTGTGGACTTGAGAGCACCAGCCCACTCTGGAAGGGTGCTCAGCTCCTCGTGAGACGGAGCTCCAAAACCCCCATTCTGCTCTCAGATGCCTTCACACAAATCTCAGGCAGAGTTGTGTCTGTGCACCTGAGGGTCGAATGTCCCCTAAAGTTGAAAAGCAAGTGGAGTGGAAAGCCATTTTCTTGACTGACATCCTGACAGTTTTTGCTTTTAAAGTGTATGTACACATCAAGATCTAAGTAATTTTCTTTCATTCTTTTTATCCTGTAGATCGCCAGTACCTACTGCAACATCTTTCCTCCCTACACAGCGACTCCAGCTTGGGAGGGCAGGGCTAAGGTTGTCACAGCTTTCCCTGTGGTGTCTGCCTGCCAAGTACAGCTCTGGAGTTAGCCGTGGGGTGTGAGGTGAGAAAGAGATTGCATGGTCTGGTTTTTTATTCACTGGGGCAGATGATTTGCCCACAGTTTGGGCATGCTACCCTCAATGGTGCTGCAGACAGTAGACCACCTGCTACTGCTGCTGCATCGTGCTTCCATCTCAACCTGACCCAGGGGCATTGGGTTGGGAACCTTCCTAAAACCTCTCCAAATCTGTTTTTAATATAAACCCTCCAACAATAATTTGGCATTGGTTTTTTTGGGGGTTTGTGGTCTTGTTATTTTTTCTTTTCTTTTCTTTCCTTTTTTTTTTTTTTTTTTCTGCAGTTTCAGCCTTGAATATGCCCCTAGCAAGGTACCTAGAGCAAATTTAGGTTAGTGACAGAGAAGGGAGTGTTTGAACTGACTTTCTGCCATGATTAGATACAAACATGCTTTCCGCTTCTGCTGGGATTTTTATTGGCCTTGATGTAACAGATCACTCAGAGTTTCCACTTGCTATGGAAGTTTGGAGAGCACAGGAAAATTACTCAGTTTGGTTACATGGGCCCATGTTCTAGATTCCTTTTCTGACTTTTTCTTACTAGCATTTCTGATCTCATGTGTTTGTTTCTGTGCATTTTTAGATTTTCTCCAGAGGCTGCCTCAAGGCGAGGGCTGAGTACCGCAGAGATGAATGCAGTAGAAGCTATTCACAGAGCAGTAGAATTTAATCCACATGTGCCAAAAGTGAGTATTGAGAAAACATCGTTGTAGCTCTAACACAGCTGAGGATAGAACTCATGAATTTTGTGTTAGAGTAATGAGTGATGTTGTGGAAAAGAGAGCAAACAATGGAAAGGGAAAAAAGCTGATAGTATGCACAGTTTTTTGCTTTGCAATCTCATATTCAGGAGTGTGCAACTTGAAATTTTAGCTGATGTGAATTTCACCAAGAGCTGTGCTGCAGGCAGATCATGCATAAAGATAGATTATTATTTGCAAAATAGTCATTAAAGATCTTCTAGTTCAAAGTAGCATATTTTATTTGTTTTGATGATTACATGTAAGAAAATATTTTTGGCATACTGTACAAAAGAACCTATCTTTGGAGTTCATGGTGTACTTCATATAAGTTGCATTAGTAATTCCTTATGCAGCAACCTGTCATTAAATTCTGAGAATGCAAAGCTCAGAGAGGAAGAATTGCTGAGAACTGCAAAGTCAAAAAAAAAAAAAAAACAACAGATTTGTGTTCTAATTCCCATACCCACTCTCCAGGGTTTGTGTCTCAGCAGTAAGAATGTTGCCAAGAGGTTGCTGAAGGCTAAAGGCAGATGTTTTTTGGCAGTTGGACCTTTTTGGCCTCTGAACTTCACCCCACAAACCTTTGGGCTAGTGTTGCCCTTTGAAAGTAAGCAGTAGAAAACTGGGATGTGTTAATGCAGGGAGCCTTGTCATTAGGTACAGTTGAACACCAGTTCTGGGCAAGATAAACCCAAACCCTCTTCCATATGTACCCATGGATTGCAGAAAGTTAATTCTCATGCACTGCAGGAATTAAATGTTTTCTCTCTGAGCTTTTTCTGTTATGCCAACCACTAAACAGCTGTCTGAAAATTAGGCTGTTGGCTTAATAAAATCATCTAGATTCCCTCTACAGGCAGTGGAAAGAATGAACTGCCTTAGTTCAGGTCATTCTTTTCCTCCTCAATGTTTCTACAGCGACTATGAACGGGGCAGTCCTTTTTTAGTAAAAACCTGATTTTTAGACAGCAAAGTTTAGGTGAGGATGAGTCCTTTTGTAATATTAGCTGAGCTTCTGGTTTTGTGCCGTACTGTAACAGGAATATCTTAAATGAAGCTTGATCCCGGGTTTACTTTCTTCCAACACCAATGGTTCTTGCAACAACACAACCACTGGTATTTCTCTTCTGCCCAGTTGCCAGTTGAGCTCTCTAGCACAGTCCTGCTCTGGGTGAACCTTTCTAAATGTTTTACTGAGGCCAGTTGGAGATTTTGCCAAGGCCAAATACCAGTTTAGCCTGTCATGAGCGATCCTTTGGAGCCTGTTCCGTTTTCCTCACTTATCTCCATGCTAAATGTTTCCATCACATTCTCTTTTAAATTCATGTTGTTAATTGATTCCCTCTATTTTTCAAAGTCTGACACTCTGAAATTGAAAACCTTTCTGAAACATAAATTACCAGGATGACAATAGGAGCTAGGAGCAGACTCCAGAGGGTCTTTTAGTTCAGATTGTAACATTAAAACAGAATAGCCTGATACATATTAATATACAGCTGATTTCACACTCATTCCTGCTGCTATTACCTAAAGGATATTAAGGTGTGAAAGTTCATTTTTGGTTATAATTTTATGCAGTGTGTGGATATTACACCTCAACTTCCACTCAGTTGTAATTAGGTCATATCCCATTTGTTTTTAATGAAATGGGGTAAGTTTCAGCAAGCAGCATCACAAGAAATCTAACAGGGCCACAAAACAAATGTGTGTTCAGTGCTTCTTTAGGATCTAAATGTTAGTGAGTCTTTTGTTCAGAGTGAGGAATAAATAAACGACAAAATGTGAAAAATTATTTAACATACTACGCAAAAATTTAGGAGTTAAACAGAGAGGGTTGTACTGCCACTGAAGCTGTTATTCCAGAGGGGTTTTTATGAACATACTATATCATGAAGAGTGCATAATTTGTGGAGTGGTTGGGGGAAAAGGTATGCGTATACACAGACACACAATTTCATCAATATTATTTATATGTGTTTGGGGCTTCCCTGCTTGTGTGTAACAGGACTATAAAAAGCTAATGCTGATAAGCTACCACAGCTGTCTCATGGACATTTATCAGTTGTAGAACACCCTTCCTGAACTGATTTGCAGAGCTCTCTCCCTTCATTCAAACTCCTCCTAAAAAGCACTCCCTTGCTTTCTGTGATGTATGAGACTAGAGGTATTCATTAAAGAGAAAACAGATGATGGTCCATGTATCTGATTGTTAAAAGTGAGCCAAAAGTATGTCCTGCACACAGTTGTATGGGTTTGTATGTAAGCCAAGAGCTGAGCTGATTTGAAGAGAGTCTCTGCTGAAGTATGCTGCATTTCAATCAGACAACTTAAATATTGATATTACTTCAAGAAATGCCAATTTTGTCTATAAACAACCTCTTAAAAGGATGTAACAAATCATTGACTTAAACACTTCCGAGGATTCATCTGTTCTCTGTTGCATCCTTCTCAAATTTTTTCTTATTTATTTTGATTTTCTTAGTAAGAACTGTGTCTGTCCGTAAGCCTGTGTGGTTTCTAGTAAGTTGTAGTTGCTAATAGAAACAAATAATGCAAACAAATTCATAGACCAGATGGGAAATTAATCTGTTCCACACACCCCATGATATTACAGAGAAACTATTTGAGATATGTTTGAGAGAGTTTTTAACTCTTCAGTGAGACGCTGATTTGTTGTATTTCCAGCAGAAAGGCCAATTACCACTCTTAATTACCACCAATTCAATGAGAATTTGAAAGGTGACCTGAAAGTGGCTTCACAGGCATGTAGAAACCAGTATTTTGGAACTTTTTTAAGCTTATGCTGTTCATCCTACTGGGAAAATGAGAGTTCCTGTTCAAACAATGTTAAATTCTCATGTTCTGGCCTGGAAGGATGCTGTCACAGGTGCAGGAGTGACTGTTGCCTGTTTGCCACCTGAGCTGTAATTTCAGAGCCAAATTGCACAATTGAGGAAAAGAAGGAAACCTGCCTGAGTTAGGTTAATTTATTTTGTAAAAAGTCACTGGAGTAATATGGGATGCTAAATGCACTCCCAGCAGGAGAGAATTAGGAGCCAGAGAACTGTCAATATTTTGAAATGGATAATGTATACTCGATCGATTTAAGCAAGAGAAGTATAAATTCCTTCCTGTTGCACTTCATGTATACCAGGTCCATTGTCATTCTCCAAATGCTCACTAAAACACATTCCTGTAAGTTCCCAGAATGGCTGTAGCTGAGCTGTATCCATCGCAATGTCATGTAACTGGCCCAGAAGTCCTGTAGAAGTACATGAAACCTACTGTTACACTTCCTAACTCCTAAGTATAGGTCTTTGACAAAAAGAGGTTAGGTTAGAGGGAGAGAAGAGAGGGACCTGGGAAAAAAAAAAAAGACAATCCAAAAAGATAATCCAAGCCAGAACAATGCAGTGGCAAAGGGCTAATTGAGTTATCTCATGATGGCAGAAATCATTGTGCAACTCCAGTATTTGCTTCTGGTCATAGAATCATCAAATCAAAGAAAATGCCAGGGTTGGAAAGGACCCACGAGGATAATCAAGTCCATCTCCTGGCCCTGCACAGCACCATCCCCAAGAGTCACACTGTGTACCCAAGAGCATTGTCCAAAAGCTTATTCTGTCAGGCTTGATGCTGTGACCACTTTTCTGAGGAGCCTGTTCCAGTGCTCAGCAAGTCCTGCCACTGGTCACAAGAGTGAAGAGATCACTCTGGCTGAAATTTTACAGGCTGTTTGTTTCTGAGCTGGTTCATTTTTTAAAGGAACATTGTAAGCCCAGATGGTGATGGCATTTTTTTTCTTGTTCTAGTTAAACTTCTTCATTTGTTCCTGAAAAACAAATGCAGTTGGAGAGGTGTTGGTCTTACCATCTAGATTTCCTCCATGAATGCCTAGTTCTTGACTAGGTTTCTTATTTAGCCTGTTGTTTGATTCTCCCTCTGAAGTGGAACCATGCTTGGGTTTGGAGTTCTGTCAGGATGAGAGAGGGCTCCTCTCTTCCCTGTGTTTTCAAAGGATTGATAAGGTATTGAAGTTTTGTTGCTTAAATTGTGAAGGTTGTGGTTCAATCTGGGTGGATGTCAGTGTATCAGGAGTTAGTTAACAGGGAGTCTGGCAAGATATGTAGGTTACTAGTATGAATTTTAGTGCTATGATTGGATTTTGTGTCCCTGTTAGTCCTGTGACAACAAGGGCTGTGTTCTGGAATACGGGCTTTGGAAATTTTGAGATATGAATAGTCAGATTCCCACCCTGAAGTCTTTGGTAGTCAAGAGAAGACTGCACTTGTCTAGGCTTTGATGAAGTGCAATAGCAGCCTCTTGGAAACTGCAGTCAGATGTCTTTGGTTGATTTTTCTCAAGAGCTGGAGATGTTTGTTGCATGCAGTAGTCCATCAGGACTGCAGTTCACACATTGTATGGGCAGCATGAGGACTGCAGGTCATTGGATGATTTTTAAGGAAAGACCTTTTTAAATTATTATTTAGTTCATTTGATTGGAATTTGTCTCCTTGTCCAATACAAAATGTTTCAGGAGGACTGTGCTGGTTTCACAGACAACCTGCTAGAAACTCAGCACATTGCTGGGGCTCCGTCCTGCCTCTGAAGACACAGGACCAGCAGCCTGTAGTTACCAAAAAAGGGACTGCCCTTGGATGTCTCCAGGTAGACCCTTAGCCCTGCCAACAAAACCTCCAGGAACCTGAACACCCTCTGGGCTCTTCAGCTTTCTTTGAAAATACAACAGTGCACCAATGGATATGATATTTGTGGACATCAAGACCATCCTAATTTTCATGGACAGTCATGTCTCTCCTACAATAACAGTCAAGCCCTACTTACAGCTAGGCAGCTTTTTGGTACCCTTTACTAATGTTCAGAGAACTTAAGTAGATGGAGGCCTTCAAGTGCCGTCTCCCAAAACCATTTCTTTGAATTTCTTTGCTTGAGAAATTTGATCTTTTTTGTTTTGTAAAGTGCCTGATGAGAACTGTACGAAGTGTTCCAGACAGGGTCTCTCTGGGGCTGTGTACAGTCAGTGTTCCTGCTGGAAATGCCTCCAGAATAAATTAATTGACAGTTTGTATGCCCAGAAGGTGTGGCTGACATTTGTGCATAAAATAGAAACATTTATGAGTCACAAATGAGTCTTGAGCCACCTATCAACTTTGTATGGGGGTCTAATTGAATATCACCAAACCAGGTTATGGACTTCTTGTTCGGGAAGGTAGCTGTGATACGGTAATGAGGGAGGAGGGTTTCACATTTTTGATCTGAAGCACTTCTAAAAATAATTTCTTTCTGAAACTGAGAAAAATGCAGACTGAAAGTCAACTTAACGAGTGAGGACTAAGCTTGATTGCAAGTGTCAAGATATATCCTTCCATCTGGTATTTCCACTTGATTTCTTTTTAATTGCTGATAGCAAGCAATACATAAGAATCAAAACACGCATTTTCTTTTAATGCTCCTAGAAATACAACATTCCTTCCTGGTCTTTCTTTCCCTACTAATGGTGACATGTCATTGGGTTTGTTTATGTTTTTTCCTTTGGTTGAAACATTTGAATGTTGAGAACTTATTTTCTCATTTAATTTTGCAGAAATATGGAAATAAAGAGTTAATGTTCTAAATTAATAAAACAGGTAGAAACCTGCAGCTCTTGCAGCTGTATTCCGTTCTGCTCAACAGGTATAATTTGTGTTTTTAAATGGGTGAGGCATTCATTAAGGCAGTGAATGTTTGCTGTATCCGTGTCAGCCTGGCAGCTCCCTCCCTCTTGTCAGCTCTTTATTCTGTTCTCTCTGTGACCCTTAATCCCCTGGACTGCCTACTAAATGGCAACTTCCTCCATTAATCTACCTGCTCTGCAGCTCTCAGATTTTTCTGAAATGCTTTAGGCAAAATCCAGTATCATATCCAACTACTCACACTGCTGATTCAGTTTCTCCTCTTTTAATAGTTACCCACATCAGAAACACGCGATTTGTCTTTGAGGTATTTATTTATTCCCCAGGATTGACAGTTCTCTGTTTTGATCATGAGCTCTTCTCATCCTTTGTCTGATGGAGCCCTAGAGATGTCACCCTTTCATCTGAGGATGCCCTAGAGAGTGTCACCCTTTGTCTGATGGAGCATGACAGCTCCATCAGACAAAGGGGTGACACTCTCTAGGGCATCCTCCATGAAATCATGCTGTTGGTGCTCATTTCCCTCTGCCCTTTTCGTTCTCTTTCCACAAGGCTGACTTCCAATCCTCATTCTGTTCTTTTGCCCTCTTTTCTGCACCAGCACATCCTGTTCGCAAAAGCCAGCATTTATCAGGGGTTGGGCAAGGCTGACATCAGCCATGGTCCCCTTTTGCCTCTGGTGCCAGGTTGCTTCCTTATGGGTGCCTGCAGTAGGAAGTTGTCAGTCCCTAGGTGCTGCAGTCCTCCTTCAGACCAGGCTGTAGCACAGGGTGAAATGGAGGGGCTGCACGCTTCCTCCTTCACTGCCAGTGATCAGCCAAACCTTTCCTTTCCCAGCCTCGTGCTAGGGCCTGGCTCACCTGCTGCCTGTTGTGTTAACTTGAACAGTCTGGTGGGGAGGAGGTTTGATCTTGGCCATCCTGGAAGAGAGCGACAATTTCACTGTGCTGTGGAAGAGCAGTCAGAATACGGCTGGGAAATGTTCCACTCCTCAGGAGAACGACAAACAGGAGCTGATTCAGCAGCTTGTTTTCTGTTTTTCTGTAAAGGATGCCAGCAAGGGCATCCTTTACAGGAAAGGATTCATCTTCACCCTCTGCTGTTTCTTCCCCCTCCAGTAGCTGGAACGTAGTGCCACCAGTGATGTCTGCTGAACTGGTGTTAGTTGTCTGTCTAGTTCATGGATTGAGGAAGGAGGAAAAATCACCTGCTTGAGACTTCTATCTTTTCCCGTGTCATGAACCCTCTGTATGTTTCATCTGTTTCTGCTGGGTGGGGTGAGCCAGTAATGGGCAGTTTTCTATGAAAATTGCTTGTGGGTTTAGTCAGTGGTACTTTTCATTTCAATGACATATCCAACAACTGTTGCAAGTAGCAAGCTTAAAGGTCCTATACTTTTACCCTCACCTCACCCCTGGTAATCAGGCACTTGTCACATTTTGTAACATTTTTACTTTGTAACTTGTTCTTAGCTACTTAGATGGCTGCATATTCAGAGACCTCACAACCTGTTAATGGCATGCAGTAAATGCAGCAACCTGTGCGCAAACTAGGAGTGCTGTGTGTTTCCTTATAGAAAGACTTTGTGTATCAAAAAGCTTAACGTCTTCTTCATTTCAGTATAAACACTTTAAAAGGCTCTTGTAATTAAATTCCACTTTCTGCTTTGAGCCCCTTTTTTTCATATTCTTCAATAAGACAGATGTTTAATTTTGAATTTCTGTGTAGTGCCAATACTACTGCTGTAGAGCAGAACTACCTGACAGCATATCTTAGTCTTTGGGAATAATTCAATAGTTGTCTTCAAGTGCAGTTGGTGATGTTACACATTTGATGAAATCTTATGAGAAAAAGTACTTTAGGGAAATAGACCTTTCAGTGTGCATTACAGAATTGCAGTCAGCTTTCTGTGCTTTGTATTACCTCTGCAATAATTGTGCTCTGCTTTTTTATTTCAGTATCTACTAGAAATGAAAAGCCTAATTCTGCCCCCTGAACATATTCTGAAGAGAGGGGACAGTGAAGCAATAGCGTATGCTTTCTTTCATCTTCAACACTGGAAAAGAGTAGAGGGGGCATTGAACCTCTTACACTGTACATGGGAAGGCAGTAAGTAATCCTCTTTCTTACAAAGGAGCTACTGAAATATTTTTATTGAATTTAATTTAAAAAGTAATAGTTTTTGTCAAGTATAGTATGTTAGAATTTTGGACAGCTGTTACAACCTCACCATCATCAAAATATTTGAAATTTGAACTGAAAACACAGACTTTATTTAATGAGTAAAAGAGGTTTGAAGTCTTGTGTTTGCTGTTTAATACTGAAAAAAATTTCCCAGCTTCTTTGAGACTCGTTTTCTTGCTCATGGATAAGGAGATAATAATTTAAGTTATTTCATTCCAGAGATTTGTTTGTCATTATTTGAACGAATAGTTTCAAACTAAGAGTATATTCAGATTGGACATAAACAAAAAATATTTTACAATGAGCGTGGTGAGGCATTGGAACAGCTTGCCCAGAGAAGCTGTGGATGTGCCATCCCTCCCAAGTGTTCAAGACCAGGTTGGATGGGGCTTCAAGCAGCTTGGTCTAGTGAAAGGTGTCCCTGTTCATGGCAGTGGAGTTGGAACTAGGTTGTCTTTACAGGTCTCTTCCAACCCACACCATTTTGTGATTCTGTGAATGCTTTGATATTTGGGAATTATGAGTGTCCCTTATAGACAGGTATATATTAATGTGTAATATAAAGCAAGGCTGTATTTTTATGACTTTTTTTAAACTGACAAGCTGCAGTGAATTCACTGAAGGATTGTTGGGATGCATAGGGGACTGGAATATGTCATATAGGGCAAAATGCTGAGGAAGCTGGTTTTGTTCAGCTTGGAGAAGTCTTATGGTGGTTGAAGAGATGATCCATTTGCTGTCTTCCACCACCCAAGAGAGAGGTGATGTGGAAGAGAGAGTCACAGTCTTCACAGAACGGCCCAGCATAAAGACAAGAAGCAATACACACATGTTCAAACCAGATAAATTTAATCCAGACCTAAGAATCATATTTTCACAGTGAGAGGGATCTGTGGGATCTCCTGCCCCAGAGATACTGAGAGCTTGACGTAGTTCTGAGCAATCCAGCGTAACTCAGAAATTACCCTGCTTTGAGTGGGAGGTTGGAGTATATGACTTAGGAAGGTCATGTACTAACCTTCTAATGTATCTTATCCTGTCTTTGAGACGTGTTTTTTACCAGGTTTCTGAGAATTTAAAAGTACAAATTATAATCAGCCTTTGTTAGCCTTTTTTCTGATTTAGTGTAATCTAGGTCCCCATTTCTGCTCTGCTTTTTTCTATTCTTTTTCACCCTCTTGTGTATGTTATGACACCAACTTGATTGTGTGTGTGTGTTTCGCCATTTTTTGTCCTCATTTAGCTTTGACAGAAAATATTTTTTATTACCATTTCCTATAGAAATGCACATAATACCTTCAGTGTAAAAGTGACTTACTATCTCAGTTACAGTATGAAATGACCTGAACTTGCCTACTTTGCAGTGTAGGCTCCCTGAGGGTGCTCTGGTTTTATTTCTTGGTGTATAGAACACCTTGCTCGGTAATCTATACCAGTGCTGCATTGTTCTCTGTCATATCTGCTAGCTCTTCTCCCATTATTTCTCCCAGTCTGTTATTTTCTCAGTCATAGGCTCATTCCCAATGGCTTCTTTCCAGTGATTTGCTTTTACGCAGTGTTCCTTCTCTTCTGGATTGTTGCAGAAGTCCTTTAGCTCAGGGCTCATTATTCCATCAGTAAAAACAGTGTTTTGCAGAGAATCCTGAACAGATCTTCTTTTGCTTTGTCAGGCTGGGGAGCCCCTAAAGGGCTTTGTACCAGGACCAGGTTTGGCACAGGAGTGGCTGCCCTGCAGTCCTCCTGCCACATGGGACACGAGTCATCCGTGCCTGAAGGCAATATAGGGAATTCTCATCTAACTACATTCCCCTTCTTATTCTCTCCACATTCAGCAATTTGAACACATAATTTATTAGCTAATAGCTGTATAATAGCCTGCAAAGATGTAAATGAATATCATTGCATAACTTCTGCAGAAAAATCCATAGTTCATTTTGTACAGTGACTTCAGAAAAATACCAACAGTGCACGAGTCCTCAAAATTTTTGTTCAGATTTTGCTCACACATGAAGATGACCAAGGGTTTTAATGTTTTCACAGTGTGTAGTCCAGTAATCATAATGTTTGGTCCATATCTTGACATCTTTGTATAACTAAGTGAAAACCAGTGAAGACATGACAGAGAAATTAAATGTAATTAAATACTAGTTTTAACCAACAGTCTACATACAATACATGGTCAGTTGCCCTTGCTTTCTTTCTATGTGTTGGTAGGGATTTTATTTGTAGTACGACTGTAAAAAAGCCCAAGTGCCACCACTGTGTTTGGGCCAGGTTCTCTGTACAGGAGGTCTATAGTTTCAAGTGTAACCAAGCTTCAGAAGTGTCTGGGGTGATGGTTTGTCATTATTGTTTTCTAAACTTGTGTCAAAACTCCTACTGTTTGCATGAGGAAAAGAAACCTAGGGGTTCCCAAATGCTCCAGTAGCTCTTGCAGCAAGTACATGGGTGAGTGGCAAACTGCCTCTGTGCTGCCTGAGTCAATTAATGTAAAATAGGATCAGATAATATCATAGGAGTGAGGCAGAGAAGTACCTACATAGGCACAAACTGATCCAGATGAACCAGGGCACTTTCTTCCATGGCTGACAACATTGCTAAATAAAGCTGTCTTGCTGTAAATATCCCGTAGTTGGTCTCATGTCAAGCATGATTGCTTAAAGTAACATCTATCCAGACATTTTTCACTTGTTTTGTAAAAGCAAGCTATTCACATCACATTTTATTTTTATTAAAATCTTAATATTATTGTGGCTTAGGGTAAGGTAGAAGAGGCTTGTCTGTTTCAATATTAAGCCAAATTGGAAGGAAAAACTTGAGTTAGGGATTTTGAAGAAATGGGCATTGAACACGTTTCCACATATGTTTTTGTACAGACACTCAAGTTTGTTGTGTGTTAAGATCATACACAGCTTGGATTATTGTATTTGTACTTGGCTTTTTTGGTTGCTATGGAGAAGGGTGGAATGCTGGAAGAGCACTACAGCCCAGGATGGTTTACAATCTTTCAGGATCTCTGCCTTCTTTACTATTGCTTTAAATGCAGCAGTCAAGAAAAAATACCATAACATAATTGCACAAAAAAATACAGCTAACATCATTTCAAATGCAGTGTACACAGCTGAAAATACTGGGGGGAAATACTGCGGAAACAAATTCTTAAGTGACCTTGTGAGTGAGAGATAATGGAGTGTCATTGTGTGGCAGTGGGCTGTACCTAACAACTTCAGTGTACAGTGCTTCTGGGACATCTGTGGGGGAAAATACTGCTTCAGTGACTGATGTTCACAGGAGTAGTGAGAATAACATGTTGATGACATTTCAACAGTGAAAATAATATAAAGCATAATGGAAAAGGATGCCTTGATGCAAAGCTGTATTTCAGTCAAGTATTCTGATGTTTCCATAAACCACACTCAGATGGCCTATGACATCAACACTGTCAAGATTTAGTAATTAATTTCCCTCCCCCTCTGTTATTATTTTAAATTTTAAAAATTCATAAGATTAAGTATTATTTAATCCGTGACCTGAAGATTTATATTGGAAACCTGACTAGATATGCTGCATTTAGAAAGAATGCATGAGAGGAAACTGGGTTTAATAATTTAGTATTAATCTTTGAGTGCCAAATAGAAAATGAAAACATGACTATGTTGGAAAACTGGTCCTCAGAGCTCATGTCATCAGTGTTACCTGGCTTGCTGGAGTGTGATGGAAAAAGAGTAGTGTATTTTTTCAATGAAAAACTTTTATTATTCTTGATGCACAGAGACTGTGAGTATTGGTCTGCATTTACAGGATTGGCTGTTCATTCTTGTAGGCTATACCTGTATATCAGACACATTTCTTTCCCCTGAAATTTAAAAATACTGCAGCCTAAAAGTCTAAGACAAAATGTGTAATTGGCTATGGAATTGGAAGCATAATGGGCTTTCATTATGCAACTATTTTTGTATGTCCTTGTAATGTGGTCTCACCTGACAGTCTCAAGAATAAAAATAAACATATGAATTTTTGTGATTAAAAGCTCAATGTAGATTTCTAGTTTGGCATTTCATTAAGCAATTTATATGCAACCAAATATAAGGGTTTTGTCTGTGTTTGTTTTCCAGAATTGCAAGTATTTGTAATTTGAGTGTATGACTGCCACACTCATAGTAACTTTTGCACCATGTTTTCTTTTCAGCTTTCAGAATGATCCCCTATCCACTGGAAAAAGGACATCTTTTCTACCCTTACCCTATTTGTACAGAAACTGCAGATAGAGAACTGCTACCATGTATGTTCACTGTTTCTGTTCTTATGACTGACACCTAAGAATTGTTTACCTGAGTCTTGCAGCACCGGTCTCCTTTGATGCCTTTGAAATTGAGTACACCGGATTAGAATAACCAGATTGACAGTGAGCCTCTGGAGCTCCTGTGATGGTTCAGCACAGTTCATAACAATTAGCTCTATTTATTCTTCTTGACAGCTTACAGACAGGGAGAGAGATTACCAAAGAGATCCAAATCAGTTAGATCTTGCTATTCTCTCTTGCCTAGACACTGATCTTTCATCTGGGTTAACATCCCCTCAAACCAAAAGCACAGAGTCACAGCCTTGTAGACACACAAGCTACTTGAATTCCGAGGCAGGATCCAACTAGCTTGAGGACAGCTGGATCATTCCTGCAGCTAGTACTCATGACAGGCTGTGCCTACATTTTCCAACAAGCAGTTTAAATAGCAAGAAAGGGTTTTCTTCATGTCATGGCGTGTGCACTATTATGAAGAGATTGATGTGAAGTCATCTCAGTCACTTTTATGTGCGTTTATAGCTTGTATTAGGAAAGTGCCAGCAGTGTTCCCAGATACGGATATAAAGAGAGATCCAGCCCTCAGGAAGCATTACAGTCCAGGCTAATGAGACTCATTGCAGTGCATGCAGTGAAGCACAAGAATGCAGAGGAAGAGCCAAAGCAGCCAATCTTGCAGTTACACTTCATTCCCATGTGTTCTCTCTGTGGGACTTTGTGTGAGCACGAGTGGAACACACGCAAGTTTGCAGGGTCGGGGCAGGGGAGGGAAATAAAAGTTGATCAAAGGGAGAAGATTCTTCTCTCACCTTCCTTCTCCCAAAGAAGGAATAAAGAAAAATTTTTCTGGAACAGGTAAAATGAAGGCTGCTTCTGCTGGGAAGGCTGCTTTTGAGGGCATGTGCATCATTTATAGTCTTTCATTCAGAACCTTTCTGGTTTGGGCTGAAAAAGGTGTTGCCTCTTTTTAGAAGCCTACATGAGTAAACATTAGGTGAGAATAATACAGCGAAAATCCACTCACTGCAAGTCTCTCCTTCACAGCACATTCTTGCTGATATTACGCAGAAATCCTTGGCAACTGACAGTATCTCCCCACCCCATTATAATCATCCTAATTATAACAACACCTCTCAGAGTGCTCTGCTTGCTTTACTCAGAGGGATGCTGAGCTGGGGAGGGTGGAGCGTCAGGAGATTTAGGAATGACAAAGTCATGCAGAATAGCTCAGCATTCTCTTTTTACATGCAAAACGAATTGTTCTTGTCAAATGTTACAGCTAACAGCGGGGCTCTGTAACAGCGTATGCAGGCAGTGTGTTCTGCTCTGGCAGTTATGGGAAATGCCTTCCACTGCAAAATCCCCTGGGTTAGAGGAGGGAAGGGCTTAGAATGCCATGACAGACACAGGTGGGTTACAGGGGTTTTGCATACCTGTCCACACCCTTTAATTGTGCATGTTTTATGGGAGAGCCAGCTGGAATTATATCAGAACACAACAATCTGATAGGCTCTCCAAATTAAAAATATCAATTACAAAACTTTTGCCCTGACTTGATAACAGACTGTGACTGTAGAGTTGAGACAGTGTGAAAAAGCAATGCAAGAAAAGTGCAAGCGATCCTAGACTTACAAAGTCCATGTTCTGGTACTTCTGATCTCCACATTTATTTTAAATCAAAGAGAAGTTGTAATCTATCCCCACTTTGGGGTTTTTTTTACCTGATCAAACTAGTAGACTCAAGAGTCATACATATTTTTAGGTTTTAATATTCTAATTTAAACTCTTATGAATTCCTGCTTTTGGTTTGATAAACAGTCCACTTTGGATGAATGCAGTCATGAATGTTGCTGGATTACCCTGTGTTTATGTCATCTGCAAGTACAAAGAGATGAGAGCTGATCACTGAAGCAAAGAAAGTAGGCAAAATGGAAGAGTAATATTTCATATATATGAATAGCCATAGGCTTTGAGTATATGGGAAGCCTTGAGGTTGGTCCTATATGAGAAAAAAATGTTTTGTATTTATCTTGTCTGTAGCTCTAACTACAGACTGGAGGAGTGAAACAGACAGGTAAGAGTCCACCCCTCCTTTTGCCAGCCTAGAGGAATTTTCACCTTGAATCTGAGCTGCCATAAAAGTTTAAGGGTTATATCCCTCTGGTAAAATATTCATTATTGTTTTCTAACCCTTCTAGTCATCTCAGTGCTATTTTTTCCAAAGTCCAATGAAGGATTTCTTTATACCAAAGAAATGTCTGTATTCCTATCAGTGTGTATTAACAAACACCTTAAAAATTCACTGTTCATTTACTTTCTATTTTATTTAATTAACTTAAAATACATGCTTATATGTCCTGCTCTTAAGATAATTTTTCTTGCTCTGCATATAAAACCCTCAGAATTTACAGTTACAGAGGCTTTGGTTTTACAGCCTACTTTAACTGGTCTGCAGCAATGCTTCCATATGGTTGGGCTCAGTGCTGCTCCCAGGCACATGTTTCTGCATTCTGTGTATCAGCATTAGCAAACATGCAGCCATGGGGTTAGTACATTAAAAAAGAAAAGGAGGTTTTATTTCCAAGTCTGTTTTCTGGGATTAGCTGTTGCAGAGGGGCTTTACATTATTGGTGACACAAGGGAGACAAAAGTGATGTGTACATAGCACCAGCGTAAACCAGAAACATGATCTTTAGAGAGAATTACTTGGCAGAAACAACTGACACAACAATTATGTCCTTAGATGTATCAGACCTTCCATCTTCTTCTTCCTACAAAAGCATCTTTCTGTGTCTCTGGTTGTTCAGACTATGTAAGAACATTGGTTTGTTTTTGCTTAGTGTTGTGTTTTGATTTTTTTTTTCAATATATAATGAATGTTTCTCATATGTTTTTCTACAGCATTTCATGAGGTTTCAGTTTATCCCAAGAAAGAGCTTCCCTTCTTCATCCTCTTCACTGCTGGACTCTGCTCTTTCACAGCCATGCTCGCCCTCCTGACACATCAGTTCCCAGAGCTCATGGGGGTCTTTGCAAAAGCTGTGAGTATTCTCTGCTGCTGCTCCCTTCTGGTAAATAAAGACACCAGTGCAGGAAGAGCTGAGCTCCATCCTGCCAGGTGTTAAATATCTGCCTACCCAGAAGCATCAGTCCATATCTGAGCAGGGGATATGTGCACAGCTGTCAAGGCTGCTAGTCAGTAAGACCTGCCTCTTGTCTTCTCTGGTTTATGTGGCTCTCTTGTTAGGTTTGATGTCTTGTGATTTTCCCGAAAAAAAAACAAGGGCTTGGTGGGAGAAGTGGACATCTGTGTTTTCATATATCTATTATCCACTAAAATAAACTAATTACAGTTAGTTATTAGTTATTGGAACCCCTCTATTTGTGTAGAGTCATAATGGCTGATGTGATTTCCAATGCAATAGAAACTCCCAGTTTGAGCAGAAATAGAGTGTACTGTTAACCAGGACAAATTTCTGCGTTTTTTTCCCTGAACTGCCAAGGAGGAAGTAATCTCAATATTTCCCTCATAACTTTCCTGAACTATATCCAGAGAAGAGTGTCCTAATTCTGCTTTTTTTAATCCACCAAGGATTAATAAATTTTGGAGAATGGGAGGGGGAAGAGACATGAATTATTCTAAACCAAACTTTTTTCTTTGCAAAACCAAGAACATCACTGCTCCAGCATGCTAGGAGATGAAAATTCCACTAACATAAAAGCTCTAGGATAGTAAAAAATTCCTTCTCCAGTAAATGCTGTATATCTTCCATTGTAAAATATTTTCTCAAATATATTTGTCTCTATTTTAAGTCTCATGTTTCCAAACTGGCCTCCTGGCTTTGTTTTTAATGTCTTTGGTACTTTTGATTTGGGGTATAAGGAGTGGGCTGGAGGAGGCCAGGCTGAAAGGTTTTGGCAAATTCCAGATTGTCAGTACTCTTCCAAACCCTTTTGCAAAGGGCAAGAGACTCCCTTTGCAGGTGAGCTGGTCTTGTGTTATCCCAGGCCTGTGAGTGGGGTCTGGTACAGCAATGGTTCATGCAACAAGACTTCTGTTCATTAGCTCTAGAAGACACAAAGTAAGATCAGTTGTAGCAGAAGATAGCTCTTCTTTCAGCAAAAAGTGCTGAAACATACCTGAAATATTATTACTTTTTCTTGTTTCTTGAGTGTGTACGTAGGTGTTAGGTAGACAATACGTGTTTAACTTGGGCATATGATCATAAATTTCTCTGTAAGGCTTTTCTTGGATTCAGTGGTTGGGTTTTTTCTGTTCCTTAGTTACTGAAGTTACTGAAATGTATGACCCTTGTTTGGCTCTTTCAATCAAATCTTTAGTTTTCTGACACTGTCACAGTTGTAAATCCCAAATCTGTCCCTGTTAGCCTTGTTCCTGTGTTTATCAGCCTTGTATCCTGAACGAAGACTATATGCTGGCAGCATAATGAGATTTTGTACTCAGTTCTTCTGCCACAGAAGAAGTTAACATGTATTTCTCAAATGTATTAATAATTCATTAAAATTAATATGTATTTCAATGTGTATTTCAGGAGTGCTTTGAATACCTGAGTTCTGTGACATGTAGCTGCCAGTGGTTTTTTTCCTGTAATAAAATGTCCTCCATTTGATTTTTTCCATATGCCTGTCTGAACACTAATATATTGAAGACTCTTTGAATGCTGTGTTCTGTACTAGAGAGAAGATGTTAAGATAAATTTTAATCAGTGATGCAGAGTATGTTAGGATAAATTACAGTTAGTGCTGCCTCAGTGGATAGAGCAGATCTGTAGATAACCCTGAACCATTTTAAACCTGAATCTCAAGACACGTTGTTTGTCTCTGTGAGGTGGTGTGGCAAACCCCTGTTATGAAACAGCCTCTCTTTCTCTTCACTGGGTTTTGGGTTGAGCTTTTAGTGGCTTCAGTGTGAGCTTCAGTCTAGGATGTGAGATGTGTGGAAACTTTTGTTGTTCATCACTTTGATCTTTGTAAAGATGGGGCTCTTGCTTTCTTTACTGCAAAATCCATAAATCTCCGTATGTGCAAAGTTCAAGAATTTAAAAGTCTTTATGTGTGAATTATGCCATTTTTATCATGCTGGAGGAATTTATAGAGGAACACAGCAAGAATATCTTATCTTATTGGACAGCTTTCTCTTGAGGTGTATTGTGTCCTGGATTTTGATCTGAATGTGTATCTGATTTCTTTGCAGTTTCTCAGCACCCTCTTCGCCCCTTTAAATTTTGTGATGGAAAAAGTAGAAAGTATCCTGCCCTCCAGCCTGTGGCACCAGCTGACAAGGATCTGAGGGAGCATGCCCGCTGACTGACTGCTATGACATCTTCTGTGCCAACCTTTTGTTGACCACAAGAAAGCATGATAAAAAAGGGAAGCAGTTATAAGACTTAAAAACTCTTCATGGATTGTCTGTTCTCATATAAAAACTGTTTTGTTGTACAAAATACATTGATGTTAGGTTCTATTATATTTTGCCTTCAGAAAAGAAAAAAAAATAAACTTTTGTGTATTGTAGCATTGCTGTCTTTCAACTTTTTCAGAACACAGATCCTAGGTTTTGGTTTTTAAACCTGTGGTATCTGTTTGGCCATAGTCAGGGCATAGCTACACATTCAGATAATGAAACATTCTGATAATGTTACAATTAAACAACTTTGTCGCTGCCTTTTCTTATAGAATTCAGTTAGGGTGGGGCCCTCACTTCTGCAGTCTAGATGAGGCTTCTAGTTAAAGCTCCTGCTTTAAGCAGCTTTAGGCTCTCCAGGCAGTTTGGAGGGCACACTGGGCTTCTGATTCCCTTCTCTGCAGAGAGGCCACCGTGTCCTCATTTGAATTTTCAAGAAGCTTCAAGAAGCCCACGTACTTGACAGATTTTCTTCACACCCCTGGTGTTTCAGGTACTTTCTGAAGGCTCATTAGGAAAATGGGTGCTAGTTCATGCACAATTAATAGAGAGGCTGGTGTTTCACTATTAGTGCTTACCTCAGGAAATCTTATCCTTGTGCTGTGACTGTTTAGACTAAGTATTCATTTATGACTTAGCCACTGTTGATGGGAACTTCTGAGTCCAGCTCTAAAATGAAGATTTTGATCTGGAAGTTGAAGGAAGCAGTTCTTTCTGTCAAGAATTTGAAGTGCATCCTTACAGATGCCTCAAGGATTTTTTTTTCCAGCTCACCTTCCAGATAAGGAAGCATAACCCTGAAGCAGTGGATCAAAAATGCCACTTCACCATTTCAACTTCACTGTTGCTCTTAAAATGCTGCACAGTTTAAGGGACTATGATCACCAGCAGATAAGTTTGTTTATCAATGAGGAAATGAGTGAGCAGACGAAACTCCCAGTACTAGAACTGGTATAAAAGGAAAGTGTTTCTTAGCAATAGAAGATGCATTACATTATTTCACTTGATCACAGACACATTAGTCTAGTAGAAGACAGGTGTTTGTTCAAGTGAGCAGAAGTACCATGCAAACACTGCTGTGCTACAAGATTAAAAAAAGGCAGCCCCACGCCAGGAGAAATCAGCTGTAAGAGTGAGACCCAAGGTCTAGAGGACCAGAGAGCCTGCAGTGTATATCCAGCTGAAAAACTAGGGATAACCATACTGATTTGTTTGCCCCAAAACAGCACTGTCAGAATTATTTAAGGCTGCTGAAAATTAGAAGTATCAGGCACAGTCAGCTCTTGTCCTGTGCTGCTTTGTATCACTTATTCCCAGCCACCTGTACCCTACATTTCTAAAGAATAAATTGCTGCGATTCACAGTCCTAAATGTAAATGTGCTTGCATTTGCACATCAGTGTTTACTAACTATATACAAATCTCCATGTCTGTCAGCAGCTGAGGTAGTAGTTTGGCATTCTATTCAAAGATATTATGATCTGTGTGGGAATTGCTGTCTGTATTACTCTGATAAAAAGGAATGCTTAACTCCTAGAAGAATCACATCCTTTTCTTGAACTATGGGGAATATTTAGTAATTCAAAAATAACTTTATGCAATTTTATTTCTACTATTTCTAGTATCTATCACCCTAATAAGCAGTGATGGGCCATGGATTTTTTTATCTGGAAAATCTCTCTTTAATTATAATTCTAGGCATCTGGAAGACTAGGCAAATCAGACAAAAGAATTTTCTTTTTCATTGGGCAGAGGTTATTGCCTTAGGCTTTGCTGCCTCTGACATGTTTCCTGTGAAGTTCAGTATAGCTTAGATCAAAGAGCTAACACAGCCCATGATTATAATAAGGGAAAGCCTCTGGCTTTGTGCAGAGATGAGCCTTGTGGAAATCTGATTCAGATAATAACTCATCTTCAGATTTAGGGGTGGAGCAAGCTTTTTAACTCCAAATGTTAGCAGTTCCTGTTTTGTTGGTTTTTTTTCTTTTTTTTCTTTAAAAACAACTTAATAGAATTTGTACACACATTACCTCTTTACACTATAACCTGCATAGAACAAAAAAGGAGAGGACCCCCCCAGGGGTGTCAAGCCAGGCTGGCCCCTTCTGTCCCTCCCTCCCGCCGGGTAGGTTAACAGCAGCTCCCTGGCAGGATCTGCACTCAGAGAGGTGACTGCTCACCAAGGGGAGGGAGGGCTGCTGCTTTCTCTTTTTCATCATTTGGTGTGTATGCTGAACATACAGACTGTTTTTTCAGAGCATGGAAGTCCTTACCCTAGCAGAAAGGAGGAAAATTATCAGGAGTTTTGCCATGTTGAAGAAACCTGCAGAAGCTGAACATCCAAAGGAAGCTGCACCCCTTGCACACGCCACACTCACCCCTTCACACCCAGTGTGGCTGTCACCCTGTGGTGGCCCTGAAAACCTCAGTGGCTCTAGTTAACAACAGATTGTAAAAGATAGCCCCGGGCTCCACCCAGCTTTCAGCAGGGCTCCTGCCCAGCTCCCACCACAGAGGGAGCTGTCCATGTATTGACTCATATGCATTTGCTTCTTTCTCACAAGAGATCTAAACTTTATGAAGCTGCATCCATTTCCCCAGGCAAGTCAGCTGTCACACAAAAGTAACAACCCAAAATCACGTTTTGGTTACAGCCCATGCGCTGTCTCTGTCTTTCTGATAATACTATCTCATTTCACAGTTCATTTCTATCATTTGAAGTGGCAGGTAAAACCTGCAGGCTGTGACATGTGACCCCAAAACCACTTCTGCCCCTGGAGGCAGCCACGACCCGCATGCAGCCCTTCTGAGGAGTGTGGGACGAATGCTACAGAGTGAGCCTTGGTACATTTGTGCTGCCACACTGGAGTGAGAGCTGCTTTTCCTTAGCAAAAGCCCCTTCCCCAGATCCAGCTCTTCCCTATCCCCGAACATTCCTTTCCCCCTTGCCCCATCCACTGGGCCCCACAAGAAGCTGGGCACGAGGCCTGCAGGCAGTGACCGAGAGCTGTGCTTTGGGCATGCAGGCTGGACACCCCTGTGCAGTGCAGTACCAGAAATGCAGCATTTTATTTATAATTCACATCTGCAAAGAAGTGCACACAGGGATGAGAGGCCAGGATGAGATGCACAAATTTGTTTTAGATATTTTTCCAGGAAAAGGAAAAGCAGCCATCTCCCAGGCTTCAATGCCCACATGCCCTAATATACACCACCATTCCTAAGTCATTCCTCATTTTCCATGTGGTGAAAGAAAATCAAACTTTTTTTATGAGATTTCACCTCTGACAGCGCAACACACTTTTTAGGGTAAAGTTTGTTGAAAATAGTGGGGAGGAAGCAATCCCAAAAAGCTTGGCAGGCTAACGTTGTTTCAGGGCGCTGCTAGATCCTGAGTTCATGCAGCAAATTAAAGGGAACTCCCTCAAGAAAATTGGACTGCGTATTTAAAAAAATAATCCTACAACCTTTAGCCTCAGCTAACATTATTCTGACATTAAAATGTCTACCTAGAGACAGCTGTTTCCTCTTCATGACTAAGTACATGAGTAAATTTATTCCATAGAACAAAACTGCAGTATTATTTCATTTGCCATGCCTATTTCTGTTTCTTCTTTTCTGGTTTTCTCTCTTTTTCCCCCTCTTATATTCTTTTTTGGATTTACTGAATATTATGGAGATGTCTTTCCTAGCAATATTTACATCTCTGAGTATTTTGCCACTAAGAAATAACAGAAGTTTCTGGGAGTGCATTTCTTTGTGGAAGAGGCAGCAGAAATGCCTACAACTGTGAGAACTCTACAGAGAACTCTTAAAAAAAAAAAAAAAAACAAAACAAAACAAAAAAAAAAAAAACAACCAAGAAAATCTTATAAATACAGAAAAAACTGTCATCAAGTAAATGGCCAGCTCAGCACTTACCCATTTGTCATTCAGTGAAATATTCTGGGTTTCCTCTGGTGCAGTGGTTTTGATGCAGGCGTTGCATCACAGTTTATCACTATGGCACGTGCCCAGAATGGGAACATCAGCCTGCTGTGCACACCTGGGTGGGCTTCCTGCTGGACAGGGTGACAAGGACACTGAAAAGGCCAAGGCACTCAATGCCCCCATCTTCCTGCTCTTACTGATAAGACAGCCTTCAGGAACCACAGGCCTCTGACCCAGAAGAAGGTTTGGAACAGGAAGATGTGCCTTAGCGGAGGAGACCAGGTTGGGGAATAAAAGTTAATACACTTTAACACAGTGACTCCAAAACACTTTATCTGGGACTGCAGAATTCAGGTGAGTTGATTTTCTGGAATATTAAACAAATAATAGATTTAAGAAGAGATCTGATTTCATTACCCTTCATTCAGCTGCCTAGAACAAGATCTCTTGTAAGAATGAGCCTTTTTTCTTTTTTCCAGAACATTTCCAGAAATTTTCATCTTTATTAAGGTAATCTTTTAGACTACTCAGGCTCTTTAAATCTTAAAAAAAAAAAAAAAAAAAAAAACAAAAAAAAAAAAAAAAAACTGCTCTAAAAGGTTAAAAATTATTATACTGCTTTTAAATTCTTTAAGGCTTAAAGTATGATATTGCTGAGACTATAAACTACATGTGGATTTAATTTCACAGTGAAATCCCAATAAAAATTCTCCTTGGAGCTCACCTTTAAATGCAATTATGTATGAAATTTTCCTTATCCAGCCCAGAGCCAGAACTGGCAGCAATGAAGAGGCCAGCAGTACAGCCCTGAGCTGCCCGTGGGCACACATACACATCTCACACACACTGCATGTGCACGGACACTGGGCAGGGCTGTTCCCACCAGCAGCTGGTTTATAGACAGGAGTGTGATTACTTTACCTCTAGCCACGATCATTTCCATATAGAGTTACTGAAACATTATCTTATTGTCCAAATAAAGAACTTTCTGGAGCCTCCTCATCTTTTAACACCAGCTGTGCCTTCTGGAGATGAATTACCCATTTTAATGATACAAACTTTTTTGAATGCCTTGCAGATGAAAATGACTGCTCCCTCAAGACCACTTAATGCCAAACCCCCTTATTTTTAAATAGTCTTTCAAGAAAGTTCCAAAACCAAAACATACCCAGAATATTCAC